GTACTAGAAAAAAAATTTTTTAATTTAAAAATTTAAAAAATGTTTGATTCAGTTATAATATTTCCTTGTTGATCTTTTGTCTAGATTATCTGTCTATTTGTGACAGTGGGGTATTGTGGTCCCCCATTACAATTGTATTACTGCTTATTTGATTTTTTATGTCTACTAATATTTTTATATAGTTGGGTGCACTAGTATTTGATGCACATATATTTATGACTAATGTCTCTTCCTCTTGGATTCTTCCCTTTACAAGGATGTAGTGTCCTTCTTTGTCTCTCTTAATCAGTCTTGGCTTAAAATCCACTTCATCTTCAAATAGAAGAGCTACCCTTGCTTTTTTCGAGGTTCCTGTCACATGGAGTATTGTTTTCCATCCTTTGACTTTCAGCCTGTGAATTTTTTTTGAATTAAATGTGTTTCTTCTCTGCAGTATATTGTTGGATCTTGCTTCTTGATCCAGTCTACCAGTCTGTTTCTTTTTATTGGTAAATTGAAACCATTAACATTGATGGTTATTACTAATATGTATTGACTTTTCCTCATCATGTTATTTTCCTGCTGTTGGTTCCCTTTTTTTTCCCCCTCTGTTTAATTGCTAGCCTTATCTGGTGGATTCATTCTGTTGGGGTTCATTAAGTTGTAATCCTCATTATCTCTTCTAGAATGTCCTTCAGAATATTTTAGAGTGCTGGTTTGGTGGTTATGAATTTCATCAGGTGTTCTTTGTCATGGAAGTATCGTATTTCTCCATAAATTTTGAAAGATAGTTTTGTGGTGTACATCAATCTTTGTTGGAGGTTGTTTTATTTTAGTGCTGGAAATACTGTACTCCAAACTCTCCTTGACTTGAGGATTTGTCAAACTTGAGAAGTTTGCTGTGATTCTGAGGGTCTTTTCTTTATAGGTGATTTGTTTCTTTTCTCTAACAGCCTTTAATATTCTGTTCTTGTGTATAATTTCTGGAATCTTGACAATTATATGTCTTGGTATAGATTTTTTTTATCATGGTTAATTGCCTCACTTATCTATGTGTCAAATTCTTTTTCTCTGCTTGGGGAGTTTTCTGCCATTACTTCTATGTACAGGTTTTTATGTCATTTGTGCTGTCTCCTGTTTTTTCATTGACTATGATCAATCTTAATCTTCTTTAAATCATCTAGTAGCTGTTGGATTGGTTTTTTTTGTGGTCTCTTGCTATTTTTAAGAAATCTTTCTTTTCATTATCTCTAACTTCAATCCTGTCTTCTATGTCTGATATTCTGTCCTCACATTGGCTCATTCTACTGTGTATACTTTCAATGGAGTTTTTAATCTCCTGAATATCTGACTGAATCTGCTTCATGAATTTCTTTTTTTCCTATGTTGGGCATTCACAGTTTCCATCATTTACCTAAGAGTCTCTATTTTCTTATTTGTATCTGCTCTAGACTCACCAAGCATGTCTTTCACTATGGTCACCATTTCTGTAACTATCTGAGAAATTATTTCGATTTAATTTTCTTCTAGAGCCTCATTCATCTGTTTTATTACTTTCACTGTAACCACTTCAGAGTGTCCAGGTGGATGGGTTTTGACTTGTTTCACCACATTGCAACTGTCTTTTTATTTTCCTTGTTTTTTTTTTTTTAATTTAATTGCTTGGTTGGTGCCTGTAAATTGCTTGGGGCAGCTTTATTGCTTAGTATTTAGAACTTTTAGAAAATGGCTACTTTTCAGTGATGTCTCCCAGGTATATCTGGCTTTTGCAAGATCCTACCTCTTCAATTTATTGGAGATAAGAAATTGCTGCCTACTTGACTGAGCCCCTAGTTTTTTGGCACTGGCCTATAAAATTGTTTATGACCCTTAGGCAATCTCAGTCTTGGCATACCAGGAAGAACAAATGATTAGAGCAATTATATTACTTTGGCTAAAGTAGTACAATCAACTATAACAATAGCATTAAACACAACCTAGAAAATGACAAACTGTGGTAGCTATTAATTTGCCACCTTTAACTGTATGAACTATTTTTATAGTTATATAACAAATTCTAAAACAAACCAGAAAATTCTATACAGTAAATAAGCCCTCAGTATGAGTATTTTACCCTCACAGGAGAAAATTTAAAAGAGGTCAGGGAGAAAATAGAGAAGTAAAAGAAAAAGAAGAAATTAGATGCAAGGCTGGAGGAAGATTACACAGATTTTGAGAAAGTGGTGAAAGGAGGGAAAGAGAGAAGGAAGAAACAAAAACAAAACTGCACACAACAACAAAAACAAAATAACTAGAACCCATTTCCATACTCATATAAAACCAGGAACAAACAGTCAAGAAAGAACAAAATAAAACAAAACAAAAAATAAGGAAAGAAAAAATATCTACTTCAAGATGTGTCTCTGCTGTCTCTGGTAGACATAGTGGTTACACAGAGTCCAGATCCATGTTGATTAATCTCAGCAGGCCAGCCATAGCCTTAAAAAGCAATAGTGGATGCTCCTAGCAAGCCTGCACCTTTAGTTCCACTGAACTAAAATTAGCCTGAAGTTCAGGCTGGTTTCTGGTTGTTAGGCTCGAACTGAATTTGTTCAGTAACACTCTGTGTCTCTTGCTGGCTTGGACTCAGATCCTTGGCTTCCTGCTGACTTGAAATCAGCAACTTCACCCTGACACTGGAAGCTGCTAGATGGAGTCAGCAGTTGCTCTGAGTTCCGCTCAGTTGGGCCCTCTCCAAGATGGCTACCATCCCTCTCCTGGGGTACATCTGTACCTGAATAACTCACCAGCCACTGCAGTCTCCAGTCTGCTGAGTCCACTGCTCCATTCCATTGGTGTTTCTCCATGGAGGCCTCTGGGGTTGCCAGTAGTCACTATGCATCCGCAGGTTCAAGGCACCATCCCATGCAGTGAGTCAGGGCTCAGAGAGAAAGTGCCACTTGTTTCCTCCTTCTTCTGCATTAAGATCTCTCCACTCTCTCTGTGGACTTCGATTCTCACTTCGGATCCTTACCAGTCCTGGGGACCCACTTTCTTCCTTCTCTTCTTCACATTGCTATATTCCAGCATCTGAACACCAAATCTCAGAGAGGCTATTTCTCTGCTGCTCACCATACCACCATCTTGATTAGAACTCTAAAAGGAGATCAAGGAGGACATCAGAAAATGGAAAAATATCCCTTGTTCTTGGTAGGAAAAAACTAGTATAGTAAAATGGCCATAATTCCAAAACTGTTATACAGATTTAAAGCTTTCTTGATCAAAATACCAATAGCATATCTCACAGAATTAAAGAAAACAATCCTAAAATTCATTTGCAATCAGAAGAGACCTAGAATAGCAAAAGCAGTCCTAGGCAACAAAGGCAAGGCTGGAGGCATCACAATTCCTGACTTGAAATTATATTCCAAAGCTACTGTGATAAAGACAGCATGGCACTGGCAAAAAAAAAAAAAAAAGGATCAATGAACAGATTAGAAGATACAGAAACAACTCCAAACATACTCAGCCACCTTATCTTTGACAAAGGAGCCAAATACCTTCACTGAAAGAAAGCCTGTTGAATAAATGGTGCTGAAAAAACTGGCTTTCCACATGCAGAAATTTAAAACTAGATCCATATCTCTCACCATAACACACTAAATTAAAATCGAAATGGATCAAAGATCTAAATATTAAAACAGAAACACTAAATGTGCTAGAAGATAAAATACATAGAACTCTTGAAGACATTGATGTAGGTAAAGATTTTAGGAAAAAACCCTGATCACACAGGAAATGTCACAAAGAATCAACAACTGGGATCTCATCTTTTAAAAAGCTTTTGCACAACAAACAAAAACAAAAACAAAACAAATAAACAAAAACAGAACAGAGTGAAGAGAACTCACAAAGTAGGAAAAATTTTTTCCAACTGTTCCTGATACAAAGAACTAATATCTGGAATATATAAAGAGCTGAAAAAAAGCAGACTACCCAAATTTAAAGACCCAATTCAAAAATGGGCATCTGAAATGAATAGACATTTCTCAGATGAAAAAGTAGAAATGGCAAATAAATATATGAAACAGTGTTCAACATCACTGGTCATTTGAGAAATGCAAATTAAAACATAACTGAGATACTATCTCACTTCAGAAAGAATGGCTATTATCAAGAAAACAAGAGTAACAAATGCTGGCGGGACTGTGGGAGGAAAGGAACCCTTCTCTACAGTAGGTAGGAATGCAGATTGGTGCAAATTGCTATTTAAATCAGTGTGGAGATTCCTCAAGAAACTAAAAATAGTGGTTCCATATGACTCAGCTATTCCTCTTCTTGGTATCTTCCTGAAAGAATTAACAGCATCATACCACAGTGATATATGTGCACCCATTTATATGTTTATAGCAGCAGTTTGAAATAGCTAAAACTTGGAAACAATCCAAATACTCAATAGATGAGTGTATAAAGAAGTTGTGGGGTTTTTTAATATAATGGAATACTACTCTGCCATAGAGGATAAATTTGAGACATTTTTAAGTAAATGGATGCACCTTGAGACCATGCTCCTAAGTGAAATAAATCAGACAAACATGCTCAAATATCATATGCTTTCTCTGATGTGAGAAACCAAAAGTATAAATAAGGACCAAAATGTACAATAGATATTGAGAAATGGGGAGAAAATGTCCAAATGAGATGAGGAATAAGGGAAAGGAGAGAGAGAAAAGAAAAAGGGATAAGGAAAAGAAATAAATGGAAGGAAAAAATGGAAACAAAGCTTTTATAAGTAAAGAGGAGTTGATGGGAGGGGAGGGGAGTGGGAAAAAAAGAAGGAAGTTATATCATATACAGGTACAAATTCCCTATCTTGGATGTTATCATTATGTATATCTAAAATGTACCAATATGATAAAAAGTGAAAAAAAATTCATGGTAAGTGAGATGGAGTTGGTGGGAGCAGAGGAGCTTTGTAGATGAGGTACTCAAAGGAAAAATGATATTTTCAGGTTTGATGCCCTTTATTTTTTCTTCCACAGTAATTAGTGAATGCCAAAGACAGCAACTGGAGTCTGTAAGCTACTCGTCTCGCTATGCTCTGGGCCTCTTTTATGAAGCTGGCACGAAGATTGATGTCCCTTGGGCTGGGCAGTACATCACCAGTAATCCCTGCATACGCTTTGTCTCCATAGATAATAAGAAGCGCAATATAGGTCAGTACCCCAATTATTTCCCTTAAATACAGTAACAATAGTGGGTGTAGATCATGAAAAAATCTGTTTAATTGAGTATTGCCATTCTGACAGAGCAAACATTTAACTCTAAGCCACAGAGGATAAAATTTAATGTCACATTTCCCCAGTCATAAAATACATGGTGAAATCAATGAAGATTTTTCAGAAAATCATTCACCACATGATTTGTATTACTGAGTTCATGAAAATAGTGTCAGAAGGTTTAAAATTCCAAACTGACTCATATTCTATTGCTTTAATATGGATCCATGTATATACAAATGTATATTTCATCATCTGTTTCTTAGTAGAATTTTTGTTTATTTGGTGTGGGCTTTTAAAATTTGTAAGTGCTGATAATCTACTTCCATGTCTAGAAATGAGTTAAATTTTATTATGGTATGAAAATGTTTCACTTCAATATAATTTTGTTGTTTACTTACATTTCATCTGGAAAAATAGGGTAAAATTACTCTGTATAAAATATAATGAAAATGACAGGGAAAATATTTCATGAGCACTTTTCTAGAATGTGGTGAAATCTGCACTTCGCCTTCCTTGTTGAAGATAGTTATAAAAATTAGGTTTGAATTGCCAAAAAATGTAATGGATACAGTGCAGACAAAAAACAAAGAAGTGAGAGTACATTTTTATTTGTATGATGGTTGTAATCCCTGAGTTGCTGCTTTTTGTAAATAAAATATAATGATCTAAATTCTTAAATTACTAAACTCTTAAAAAGAATTGTTGCTTCAATTTGTTACAGTCTTTTATGGCATAGTGATGGTTTCATCAAGCCATTAGTTAGAAGTCTTGCTTGATCAAATCACCAACTAACATCTCTTGGCTTGACAAATTTATAATGATAGAACTGAACTGGAGTGTGGTTTTTATATCACAGCACATGATCTTAGAAAAATGTTTCTTTTATAACTTAAAACTCCCTAAGAGCTGAACTGTTTATGTTAGCATGATACCATATATATGTACAATAAGCAGTTCATGAAATGCCTTATAACAGCAATACACTAAACACTTTTGATTCTACAGCTGCTTCGTTCTGAAGAAAATAGCCTTTGATCTTCTCAAGTTATATGCTATGAATTAGACATTATCCTTTGTGTATTGCTTCATAGGTTATCTGTCAGGGTATGTAATGGAAAAAAAATTAAACTTGTTTATAAACAACAGAAGGGCATTTCTTATATTATCTGCTATAGACTGAATTGTATCTTCTCCAAATTTATAGGTTGAAGCACTAATTTGAGTGTGATTCTATTTGGAGATAGGGCTTTTATGAGGTAATTTAGATTATACAAGGTCATAAAAGTGAAGTCTTAACTCAATAGGATTAGTGACCTTATAAGGAGAGTAAGAGAAAAAGAGAGGTTCTCTCCATGTCGAAGCTCTCACACACCAAGAAAAAGTCATGTGAAGACAGAACAAGAAGGAAGCCATCTTCATACTAGGAAAAGAGCCCTCACCAGCAACCAGGTCAAGCAACACTTTGATCTTAGACTCCCAGGTTCCACAACTGTAAGAAATTGTTACTGTTTAAGGCACCTAGTCTCTGGTATTTTCTCCAAAAAATATGCTTGGGGATAAGAGAGACCATCACTGCCTCTGTCCCTTTTTAAGAACTAAGGAAATCTTTTCAGAAACACCTTAAAGGTATGTCATAGACCAGAATTTGGTTATTCAGCCAATCCAAAACCAGCCACTGGTGGTGGGCAACATTTGGGGGAAATATTGTGATAAGAAATGAAGATTTACTCCTGGAACTGGTATTAGAGTCTTCCTGTTAACCTTGTGAAGCATAACTACCTGAATAAAATAAGGCAGTGATGGCAAACCTTCTAGAAACAAATGTTCAAACTGCAAGCTCAAACCCACTTATTTATCACAAAGTGCCAATACTGAAACTAAACCTGAATACTAAGTACTTTAGAAAAACAACTCATACATTTACATATTTTGTGTTAACAAAAACAAATAACATGAGTGCCATAGGTTCACCACTGAAATAGTTTCGTTAGAAACAAAAAAGTGGTGAATCTGGATTGGAAGTCAGTAATGACCATTAACTTTAAGTAGAATCATCTCTTTTATGGGAGGTAAAATTCTACAGTTGGCATGTAAAGAGAAGAATTACATATATTCAAAATTACTCTTGATGTCCCTTAAAACTGGTATAGAGGATGACAAAACAACTTTCAGTAAATTCAGTAAGCCATTTTTGCAACATTTAATAGATTTTGGTCTCTTTAGGTAAGGCTATATTAAATAGTTGGTTTGCATTTGTAGGACAAAGGGATATTTTCTGCTATGAACGCCACACAGGAAGGAAAGAAATGCCACTCATATCTCCTAACAGACTAAATCTCTAGTACAAATATAGTGGGATGGTATGTGAAAGCACCCACACTATAGTACAGAAACAATTTATAAAATTGTGCAGATTTGAAAAAATGAAACATAAGAATATTAAGAAACTCTCATATGATTGACAATATTAGTAATAGAATTTTCACATTTTTACATCAACAATCATATAATTTTAAAGCTGTAGAGCCAAGTGAATTAGAAACCATGATTTTTCTTCACCCATGTTGGTTCTACTTCAACTGGAAAGAAATACCTGCTTCCTTTTGTCAATAGTATGGAAAATTAATCTTCTTTTAGGCAAGTTTTAAATTATGTGAAGTCTCTAGTTGTGACATTTCTTAATTAAAAAAACTATCTGCCTTCATTTAAACAAATTTTTCTATCTGGCTCTGAGTACTAAGTATGTCAAATTAACTTCACATAATGTAAATGCCCATATGATGTGCCTCCACTGTATTTTACTAATATAGATATTTAATTAGGCCAGTAAGAGATGTTTCTTAATGCCACTAACATTACTCCACACCTACCCTTTATTTGAGGTTGTTAATTGAATCAAGAATTAATACTGTAATACACACTCTACTGCAGAAGATCATTTCTCTTCTCTCAGGTAGGGCAGCAGTGAGGTGGAGGAAGGCTGGAAGGGTTGTGGCCACAAAATAACAGTGTGTTGATATGTCTTGAAAGACAGAGGATAAAGTAGTCAAAACTAGATGAAGTTCAAGGTATAATAGATGTCAATAATAGTCAATCTGTGCAAGAGTTCACAACCAGAACCAACGTTTCCTCAGGTAAAGGAACTAAGTTTCAACATGTACTAGACCCAACTTCAAGTATAAATAGACATGGGCATGACTCAATATCCTCATGTTTGCATTTCCAGAAGTATTCTATGAAACACTAGTTCCTTGAGATGTTCTTTGGGAAGGAACTCTGTCATCAAATAACTTTGAAATATGCTATAAACTTGACTATTACTATACTATAAACTTTCACTATTTTGGAGAGTTTCGGGAAATATTATCTTATTAAAGGATATTCCTAAAGAAAATACACATTTTCACCTCATTTACCCTATAATTTCCCAAATCCACTTGACCATGAAACATTTTACTGGGGCTCCAAACCTGTGAATGTCCTTCAAAAGTGATTTCCTAGGGCACGCTTGAGAAATCCTAACTTCCTGTTGTGTTTTGTGCTTCATATGTGGGCAGGAAGAATACACCAGATAATTGGGATGGGAAGGTCTGGTTCTCGAGTACAGCCATCAAATAAGAAGATACATAGAAACTCTTCTGGAGATAAGAAAACATGTTTCTGATGAACTCAAATTTTATGGGGTTTGAATTTAAGATTTGTAGCTTAAAAAATGATCTTTATCATTTTAACATAGACCTATAGTTTGGATCTCAAATGTCCTCCAAAGGCCCATGTGGTAAGGCTTAGTATGGAGCTATTAAGAGGTAGAAACTTTAAGACATTAGGTTTAAAGGGAGGACATCCGGTTGTTGGAGACATGAACTTCAGTGAGGATAGTGGGACTTAACTTCCCACTTTCTGTCACTCTTTTTTATTTCCCAGCCATGAAGTGAGCAGCCACAAAGTATGCACCCCCTTGCCATGGTGCTCCATCTAAGTACAGGCCCAAAAGCAATGACACCAAGCAAACATGAACCTGCAAACCTGTGAGCCAAAATAAATCTTTTATATTTATAAGTTGATTATCTCAGAGCTTTGTTACAATGCCAGGAAACTGGCTAAGACACATGGATAATTTTTTAAATTGTCAGTACGATTAGCACAGTGGTAAGAATTTGGACTTTAAAGACCTATATTCAGATTTTGGCTCCGAAAAGTGCTGGTGATCTGCTTTTTGTATGAGCCTTGTGTTAGGCTAGTTTTTTGTAATAAACATATCCAAAACTTTAATGGCCTGAATATAACAAATTTATTTGTTAAGTCCAAACAGATACTTATGATTGATAGGTAGCTTTATTTAAAGAAGTATTCAGTTTTCAGGTTTTTTAAAGAAGTAGTCATTTAAGAAAATGGAATACTAATCACCCTGATTTTATCCTTACACATTGTATACATGTATCAGATTATCACTGTATAGTATAAAATGTGCATCTACAATGTGCCAATTTAAAAACTCTTAAAAAGCATTAGGAAAAATGAGGTTATTCAAGGCCCCAGGGTCCTGTATCTTTAGCCGCACTGTGCCCAGAGGTATCAAATCAGTACATTGAAAAGACAAAAGAGAAGAGACCATATGGGAGGTAAAATCTAGGTACTATGTATAACAGGTGTGCTCACATTTCATTGATCAAAACATAATCAGTTATGTGTGCACACCAGTTTAGAAGGGAATCTGGGCCTATAATCTTCCTAAGGCATGTGACAAGAAGAAAAGTCAGATTTAGTGAACATCTACCCAGTCTTTGCTATAATAGTCAACAAACATCCTATGTAAATGGAACAGATTAGACATGGAGGGCGATAAATAAGTTTCAAATATAAGTGTAAATATAAGTGAAACAGGTAGTCACTACCTATGGCAGAAACATAATTATTTCAAGGCTGGGTTTAGA